TTGCAAATGTTGCTACTCAAACCTGAATCCAAATCATTTATATATATTATAAACAACAGAGGTCCCAATACAGAGCCTGCAATGCTCTTGGTTGTTTACGGCCCCGGATGCCCCGTTTTGGTTGTTGGGGTCCGGACTTGGGGGTGGGGGTCGCTTCGGCTCTGGCTCCTTCCGCTCCTCTTCCTTTCCCTTCTGTTCTGCACACTTCCTCCCTTGCTTCTGGCTCTATAGGCCATTGCTCCTTGTGCCTCTCTGAGGGGTCCAGGTTCTGGCTTGTGGTCCCCGGTAGGCAAGAACTCCAAGCACTTTGATGCCAGAAAGTTATACATATCCATTCAGCGTAGGATGTCCAGCGTAGGATGACTAAGTTAATTCCCCAAATTAGAAATCTTTCATATGAAGAAAGATTAACAAAGCTTAAGTTGCATTCACTGGAAAGGCGAAGAGTTAGGGGTGACATGATAGAGGTTTACAAGTGGATGAATGGACATAACCGGGGGGGATATTAATAGGGTATTAAAAGTATCAACACAGGACAGAACACGAAACAATGGGTATAAATTGGATAAGTTTAGATTTAGGAAAAACTTGGGTAAATACTGGTTCAGTAACAGGGTTGTTGATTTGTGGAACCAATTGCCGCGTAACATTGTGGAGGTGGGGTCCCTCGATTGTTTCAAGCACGGGTTGGACAAGTATATGAGTGGGATTGGGTGGTTATAGAATAGGAGCTGCCTCGTATGGGCCAATAGGCCTTCTGCAGTTACCTTTGTTCTTATGTTCTTATGTTATGTTCATTCAGCCTGGATAGCTCCGGGGAGCCGACGGGGTTCCCCCCAGAAAAATTAAATATAGTACTGCACTGTATTTTAGTTTCTAATTCTTAAGGCTCTCCCTTTTTACTTTGTAAGAAAGTGTATAAGTGCAACATGCAGTATGGCAACACCTTCCATTTATTTCAGGTTTAAAGTTTCACACAATGTTTCTTTGGTATGTTAATTACATCTTTCATACGATTTGTGGTTGATGGAGACAGGTAACCTGCTAAGGTCATCAAGATCCCTCTAGCCAATGGCTGATAATAACCCAGGATGCAGCCCACATCAACTAGTTACAGTGCTGGTATATGTACTGTTAGGTCAACACAGGTATCCAGTGTAAGGAAATGTGGCAATAACTTAAGGATTTAAATTTGTAAGTTTTAAGAGGATTATCTATAATGTATCTTAATCATAACTGCAATAAATTCATTATAATAGTTACTAAAAGATGCGAGGGATGAAGTCTTGCAGATATTAAAAGTATCTTCATGAACCAATCATATTTATCTAACCACTTATCTTGATAATGACTGCAATGTTGCCAGGTATGAAAGCCCTTTAATTTCCAGCAAATGCAACAATACATTTGTTGAATTCTTTCTCAATAAATTTATGCCATCATCTCTAAATGTTTTGTGGCCTCCATCCTAGTCTACTGTTTTAATACAAATAATGTACAGAGTAAATTTGGATTGGACTATAAACATAATTCACTTATTTCATACAGCCTTACATTTGTCATTCTACAATACCAAGGAAGGAAAGTCAATGCCTTGCTTAGAAAGAAAGTCACAGCCGGTTCAAATCACAATCATGTACAATTACAATAATAACAAAAGAATTGTACCTCATGAATATTTTATCCTGTGCCACCATGCATAAAGCTCATTAACTCTATGTAACATACATACTTTGTCTAAAAAGTACAGAAGATGTTGAAACAAAAGGTGTACAGCATTTTACACTTAAAACTAAGTAAAAAAGATGAATACATAATCCCAAGAAGTCGATAGAGAGCCACATCCATAGAATTACCTCTTGCCATGGGCTCCTTGCATGACTCCATCATAATCTTCAACAGCTGGATAAAAATTCTGACCATGATAATCTGCAATGCCTTAAACCAAAAGGTCTATCAGAACAAACAGAACATAAAGCCAAATTTTCATTACAAGTACAGTACTGAAGTTTTTTTATATTATTTCTTAAAGAATGTGAAGACCTTAAAAGAAAGTATCTCAGATCATATTGTGTACATTTCTTACAGTAGTCTAGTTATAAAACAGTGGCTAATGCTTTTTCCAATTTAGGATAGTCTCAAAATGATTGATATGCTTGTCTCAATGCCACAGCACTTTACACATTCTCTAACTCTGAAAAATAACAAATTTAACTTTAAATTGTCATTTGCAATTTGAGTTTCTCATTCAAATATTTACTGTACTTACGTATCACCAAAATACATTTACAGTATTTTGTGAAAATTAATCAAACACCGAGGTACTATTAACGCATCTTATTTTAATTAATGCACAGTGTTAATTAGCCTCCTTTAAAGTTAAAATGGGGTGCTTCACAGAATATGCCTTAAGTTGCTATACTTTCCAGAATACCTTGTACATAATAATACAATGTAATTGTGGCAATAATACAGTACAGTATGTATATATGTGTATGTATGTATGTATATATATATATATATATATATATATATATATATATATATATATATATATATATATATATATATATATATATATATATATACTGTATAATAATAATAATAATAATAATAATACATGTATACATACTTATCGTCTATAATGATTGATCAGTCCTTGTGCTTATTAACCAAGTTCCGTGACTGACCAACCCCCCGATGACACTCGTGGTAGACTCAGCGCGGCCTGTGCATGTGCCGGAGTTTGACAAAAAACTATACCCAAATGGAACCCTGACTGTCATCGGGGGTTGGTCAGTCGTGGAGCGTGCATGTATACACATACACATATGTTGCATAAGTTATAGTAAAAATATCCACAGTGACACTTTTATATATCAATTATACATGGGTAATATCTAAATGCCATAGAAACAGAAGATACAAATAGCAAAAGATATATCCCAACAGCATCCTACCTCAACCCTCATTGCCTGACAATCAATACCCAATACTTTCCACTACAACTAAACCATGGTATCTACAACACTTTCTGATGTATATACAATATGTGCATTCCGCATTCCTACAATAGCTATAATATGGAGGTGGGGAAGGGGTGGTTGTTTGCATAAATGGGTGTGGCAGCATTTATCTGGACCAAAAACCTGTTTCGAATGTTAAAGAGCCCAGTAAATATTAAATAACTTAAAAATGTTGACAGAAATCAGCTATTGCATTGTAACCTTTTTCTTTTCATCGACTGTTATCAACAATGATGTAGCAGAAAAGTGGTTAACGGAAGAGTTTTGAGGAAATAAGACTACAGTGGAGGCATTGACAACGTCACTACAGTATATTGGGAGTTATGAGGCATCAATAACTATTCTACGTTACAAATTGTTAGGAGTGAAAGCCAGCCATCGAACTACTGTGTAGAGATTGGCAACTACCGTGGTGTTCTTCAATGAAGTTGGTATACAGTACATAGTTGGTTGATCAAAACATTTCTCATTGATTTTTAAGGATAGGATTGGATTTCTCTTCATTGGTATTTCTCAGAAAACAGTCTGATCACTGGAGGAAATAGCCCATGCTTCTAGAAAGTAGGGTGTAATGAGGAGGATATAGCCCTCTCCATTGTTTATTAGGAAATATATATAATTCACCATCGTGAATATATGACCTCACAGACTGCAGTGATGCTTTTCATTAGTTAGATTTCATGTGGAATAAAGCTGATTCTGCATTGCAGGTTGATTATATGTTTCGTACAAATACTGTATGTACAGAATATTGTAATGCATACTAATTTTGGATAAGTTTATTTTCTGCATTATCCCTCACAATGATGGTACAATATGTATTTCATGACATTACTGAAATGATACATAGTGGCCAAAGTGTCTATCAAGTTGTGGTATTTAAGGGCACTAAATTGAGGGTGATAAACAGATTTTCTGACAGATCTCTCACTGTGAGATACTAATCAAAGTAATGTATATTTATGAGGAGGAAGTCTGTCCACATGTATTGCTTCAAGATATTTAAACCAAGCAAAGCAGATAAAAAAATCTGTACCATAATGAAAGATAATCAGTCTTTAACTTAGCAAATAAAAATTATGAGAACGTGAAAAGTTGTCGTAGGCAGGTGATCATGACCAGGAATCTTCATACTGCCAACTCAAGTGAGGCAGGGCAGACAGTGGGCAGTAAAGATGGATGGTACAGGTACAGTTTGTAGGAATAACACAGTTTTGACTAGTTCAGTAGCAAGTGAGGGTTAATGTGTCCACAATCAGTGAATTGTGATAGGAGCCTCTTGGGTTTGTTTGGCAGACAAGAAGTGTCTCCGTTTATCTTGTGATATTCAATTGTCATGCGAGGGGTTTTGTGCCCAATTCTGAAAGACTTTCGAACAGCAGTGCTTCGAGGACACTGACTTAATTGTTGTGCAAATAGCAATACTAGATCTGTTGAGAGTTAGCATCACACCTCCCCTGCAAACACAACTAGGTAAGTAGTTGGTTTCTGCACCTTTTTAACATTAAAGTTATATTTTAGGGAATTATATTTTATGATTGGGTTTTACTGAATCTTTTAATATTCGGTTTTTCTTTAGTTTCCTGGTTGTTTATGAAGCAATCTTCACCCTGTTTAACATTTTTCAATTTCCTAAAAATCAATTACAGGATTATTTCACCTTAAGGGTAACCAACCAGCACTGACACTTCAATATTACTACAGCACACACAAATGTGCCTCTTACTATACAAAGTGACTCAGGAAGACTACATACACTTCAGAGAGGAGCATCAAATTATACTAATTTTGGAGTTTAAGCTTATGGGTAGCGCGTTAAATAGTTTTACCGCTAATAATAATAATGCTGCTAGAAAATAAAAGAAAAATAGCAAATACGAGTTTTAAAGATGCTTAGAAGGAACAACAGGAGAGGTACAAAACTTTAAAAGCTTATGTGTAGTTATGACAAAATTACAAAAACATTGCCCAAACCTCTTTTGCCTCTTGGCATATCCTTCACTCTGAGTTCCTGTGCTGCATGCAAGAGAAAACAATATCTTATATCTTTAAGGCTTTTCCATTTATTAAATGTACAGTACTGTACCTACAAATTATTTTAGGTTAGGTTTATACATTATGTTTACTTTTTTCAACTTAATTTGTTAGAATATTACCAAAATTCTACATATTTAAATTTTCAAGAAATTATATTGATAAATAATTTTCCCAGTCTTTGAATTTCTTTCCTGGTAAAATTATCAAACATTTTCCTATTACAAGTCGCATCTTAGTAGCTTTACAAGAATGTACCAATCAGAAAAATCTGTAATGACATAACCCAGGAATTTTATTTTATAATTGGTCTTTATTGTATCTATTAACGGCTGCCTTTGTCTTTCCTATTTTCCTCTAGTTTCCTGGATGTTTACGTAGTAACTTTCATCCGATTAACATTTTGAACTCCCTAAAAATCGTTAATTGACTATTTCACCTTAGTGGTAACAAACAGTATTGACACTTTTTCAACGATGTTAGTGCAGCATATAACTAGGCGAGTACAACTAGGAGAATACACACAAATGTGTATTCGAATAGTTCATCACCGCAAAGTTCGAACTCCTGCACAAACCCTCAAGCAACCGTCTTGTGACCCGGGAGCCCCTCAGAGATCAAATTTTAAGTAGCAGGGAACAGTACAGTAATGCAAACCCTGCCAGATGACCATGGCACTGATTTGGTAATTAAAAAGTTATCGATAATTGCATAGGAATTTATTTACCAAAACAGGAGATTTCTGAAGCATCAGCAAGATAATATCTAAACAATAATACCATACAAACATGGGGACCACATATCTAAGCCACATTAAATAATCAGACATATTCAACTGTCTTTATTTCACTTTCTTACCAAGATAAGAATGGTCAGAAATTACAAAGTTTTAAGGACTTGGTATGTGCCTAAAGGCACCTCATTAGGATACTGTTACTACGTACAAATTGCTGTACATGTACTACCAGTAATTTATATATTCTTTATTTAAATAATTTAATTAGCTACCAGATTGAAGAATGGCTTCACAGTTTTGTTTTGCAGCTTCAGTGTATCTGGAATGTAAGTGGAATGTATGTGGAATGTAGTGTAGTTGTAACTGGGCATTATCTCTCACCAGTCTCCAGTGGTGGTATACTTTCACATGTAACACTACACTTCTACACATATTATTACCAGAAACTTGTCACCTGAATTCACAACATCACTCCCTATGCTATTTTACTACCTATTATGCTAATACTGTATACAGTACTGTACTTATTTCCCGATAATTTTTTAGTGATGATTTATTTTTTATCACTGAAGCCACAGACTAGATACTTTATTCTTAATACTGGTAACAGTTAACTAAGTACAGTACATTACTTCTCAATTAATGATGCCTATTTCTGTAAAACTGTAAAAAGCAAATAAAATTAAGCAGAAAAAGTATAATCATCATACTAAACCATTGAACAAATTATAATCATCGTACTGTACTATACCATCGAACAAATTATAATCATCATACTATACTATCGAACAAATTATAATCGTACTTGGTCTGAAAGACAAAAAACCCAGTGTTGAATGTAATGAAACACCATTTTTTGAGCGAGTCCTGGAGGCTCCCTGGAGCTATCCAGGCTGAATGGATATGTATAACTTTCTGGCATCAGTCAAAGTGCTTGGAATTCTTGCCTACCGGTGCCCAAGTCTACCAAACAAACTTCTAAAAGCTGAACCCCCCGGGACGTGTCCACTCACGGGGGCCAAGCATGGAGTACCACCAACCAGAAAATATATCTTCCTTTGTTGTTCGGTTGTGGTTCTTCGCTGTTCTCTTTGCGTCTTGGCCTCTGGGGTCTTGGACGCGTTTTGGTTGGACCGGGTTTCCTTCCTTCCCTCATTCCTATTCTGGGATTCGGGTCTCCCGGGGTTGTCTGCAGGGTCTTTTAGTTTCGTCTGTGACCTTGTTCTTTTAGGTTAGGGCGTGTGGCATCCGCCTCCCGGATCCTTCCCTCTTTTCCTTATCTGGTGAGGTAGCTCCTGAAAGTCAACGGGGCACCCCCCAGAAAACCAGCGTTGAATGTAATGAAACGCCATTTTCTGGATGAGTCCCGGAGGCTCCCCGGCATCCCTCCCTCCCTCCGGTCGGCGGTGTTTTTCGTGTATTTTGACATCCAGCCTAAGAACTGCTGGTTGGATCGCCAGCGTGGATGGTCTGGGGCTCTCCCTTCCCCCCCTCCCAGGGAGGGGGGTTGCGCAGACGGCGACGTGATGACATCATGCTAGTTTGATAATTTTGTTTGGGGAGTTCTGTCCACTCGTTCGGCTTATGATAGCAATATTTTCACCAGAATAAGGGTTTGTTTTGGGGCGCCTACCTTTCTGGGTGCCAGTTCCGGTCAATGGCAGACATAGAATGCTCCCAACCACAGGTGGGTTTCAATAGGCCATTGCTCCTCGTGCCTCTCTGAGGGGGCCAGGTTCTGGCTCGTGGTTCCCGGTAGGCAAGCACTCCAAGCACTTTGACTGATGCCAGAAAGTTATAAATATCCATTCAGCCTGGATAACTCCAGGGAGTCGATGGGGCTCCCCCCAGAAAAGTTAACAAGAAATATGCTCAAATGATAAGCCTAAGCATAAAAATATACTAGCCATATTATATCTGGTAGTCATTAACCCCTGCACTGTGCGCGCCTGTTTTTTGGCAAAAATGTCATAGTGCAATTGTTAAGGACATATTTTTGTTGTTTTTTATAAATGTTCAGGTAAAGCTAATGTCAAAATATTTCCAAACTCAACTATTTTCATTTTAAAACACAAAGGGCAATGAAAACATTAAAAAACTTGAAATATAGTCTAATTAAAAAAAAAAAGCACAACTCTCAGAACAACTTTTGTTGAATGACGCAGTTAAGGGGTTAAGCAAAGAATAACGATTGAAAATTCATCATTCAAGTTTGATTTACTAAATGGATTTTTTCTTTTATATTTGCATGTCCCTTCCCTTCTTTTACAAAACTTGAAATGGTCCAGAATGATCCAAAACATCATCGTTTCTTCATTTTCTGATGTGGGGTTTGGTCATCAAACTTTTAAAATGTAAATATTAAAAAACAAGATGAATAAATGGCCAACCATGCAACAAAAACAATGTACTGTACCTCCAAAGTGCTACAACTACCTTATTCAATTTCAGAAAAAGTCGAGATCAGAGCTATATTTTGCAAAATATTTGAATACGTTCATAATGTTTGGAATTTTGTAGACACAAAATTTGCATTTGATTACAAAGTAAAATACTGTATTCAAATTGCTAATATACACTTAAAAACATTTTAAATGTTACCAATTATCAACTCCTAAATCTTGCTCTAAATGGAATATTAAAATATATAAGCTTGAAATAGTTGTATAAAAAAGAAATATGTGTTTTCAGTTTTTCAAAATGAATGAATTAGAAATACTTAGGCCCAAGTGATGTGTAACTTCAAATTTTCTGGCAAACATTATGTACTGTTTGTTCTGTATACAAATTAATTTGTGACAATTTCCTATTTTCCCATTGGAAATACAGTATAATAGTACAAAAATATACCAGTGAAGTATTTCCCACATCAAAAATTCCTTTAATGCAGCATAAGAAAACAAATAAGTCCTCCTACTTCCTTATTACCCTATATAAGCCAATACAGTACTGGCTACACTATTACTGCATATAATTATCATACTGCAATCCACATTGCTCCATTCACAAATCAAGTCTTAAAATTAAGAAGTTCCTTTCAAAACTATCTCGCATCTAATTACTGTACTGTATATGGAACAACAGGTGAGTAAATAACATATATTATAATATTTGAATCTTATCTAACCTTCACTTTTCCAAAATACTGTTATTTCCATCATCACTAACTCCTCTTAAAATACCCCAGACACAACTGAAAGTTGTATAACTTTGAGCCACTACCACTACAATCTAGAAATGTAATATCTATAAAATTTTCAAATTAAACAACATGTTTATTCAGTAAATGGTTTTCCGTTTTTAATCACCACCTCTTCTAATGTCTAATACACTATGCTATATATTATCTAACACCTATAACTATTATTATAATTAATATTTACTATGCTATTACTTTACAAGTAAAGTTTGTTGTAACAACTTAAACCCAGCTTCTGTGCACTCCCGAAATTATGTATGGTGGCTTCTCTTGTGTGAAGTAAGGCAGATCTAAGAGCTCTGGACATCAAGCCATGGGGCTTGTTTTCAGTGATAAAAGGCCGGGGGGGAGGGGAGGGGGCAGGCACTACTGTCTATGATGTGTACAGAGCCAATTGCCATCATGGCAAGGCCCTCCTCACGTGTGGGGTTGTCCCACTACAAAACTGTGGGAGACAGCATAAAGAGGATTAGCTTTTTAGCTCCATGGTAATGCAGTGGCCAACTCTGTGCACATCACAACATATTTTATCATACTTTCAAGAATTTGGCGACCAAACTTGCTTTATTCTGCTATTTAATTTCAACTGTTAAATGTATGCCTAGTGATCATAATTTTTGAAAACTGTAAATGTAAGTTGTTTTTTTTTTTGTTAAGTTTAAAAGATTACAGTTGCATTTTGCATTAAGAGAATATAAACTACAATTATATACTTATTATAATTTTATATGAGCCAGAAGACAAATCGAATATAAAATAGTGTACGGCAAGTAAATATTATACTGTATATCCAATTTATAGTTAACCCTTAGGCTGAATGGCTCGTAATATTAGGTTTTATTCATGAAATATCAATCCTGCGAGGATAGTTCCGTTATATTTGACCCCACAGCAGGCAACAAATAGCAGTAAGGTTATGAAGTGTTACTTCTACTGTCAAGAAGTAGTGGTGGCTCTGAAGCTCACAAATTACAGAAAAAAAATCTTTGGTATGAATATGAAACACAATTGCTTTTAAATATATTGCAAAATTTATTAGTGCGTAAATCAGTGTTACGTACTAGGTTACTATCATTAAAATATTTGTGATTTTTAACATTAGAGAATATATTTGATTTACAGTACAGCACAATAATTCATGTATATTAACATGTAAATAGTGTCACAGAAACATACACATACAACCTCATAAACATGCAGATGGTGGCAGCAACATCAGCTTTTGAGCATGACTGTGAACAAGCCAGACCACCACAATGGTAACACGGTAACACGAAAAAATGATGAAGTAAAAAAACTGAGGAGGAATCATCTTCAAACTGACCCCATAGGTAAAAAAATCCTGCATATCAGATGATACATGCCCACAGGATTAGATACCCTCTCCCTCATGCAGAGGCAAAGTGAACACCTCATCAACATACACAACAAAGACACTCCCATCTCCAGGGATTCAGGAGTACCCCTCCTTTAAGCTTCAGACATAATTAGAAGCCAGCCCCAAGTCAGTCATAGATGAATTAGGTCGAATGTTGCCAGTCAGAATGGTTCCCGGGAAGGAATGTGACAAGGCCATTCACCCACTCACAAGAAGGAGTGAAGGATGGCCATGTCCGAGACTCAAAACCTTCAAGCATCATACTCCAAGGAAAGCATGACACCAGACCAAAGAATGTTGGCTCTCACAACCATAGTTGGCAGAAGAGAAGCAGGACACTTCACAGCCACACAAGGTTGCCCATAGGCATCAGATGGCTGGGATCAAGAAGCCCCTATCTGTTTAAAAGAAGAGACTCCCAAGTCATCTGGACAAAATATACCATTTCATCCTTCAAATAAATAAATTAAAGAAAACTGGTATTGTAACCTCAAGGGAACATGCCCACAGATTATAGCTAGCATAGTAAGCTGCTCATTTGCCGAGATGCTCAAAAAAAAAGAGGGCCACCCAAATACAGTACAACACATGGGACATTACCTTAGATAATACCGTAGTAATCTTGCACCTGATCTTACCTGGAGAGGATAGAGGGAAATGGACAAGAAAGGATAAACCTTGGAATACAGATATCTGTAAAGTACCCCTCCAAATTGTACTGCAGAGTTTTCCAATCCCCATAGCGAGTTGCCATATAAGCCCAATATAGAAAATGAGAACTAACGATCAAAATTATCAAGACAGGTACTCGGCACTGTAGTGGTTTACAAATAGACACACCCGGGTTCTAAAGCCTCCCTTAGCACTCGGCGTTCCTGAACCAAACCATATTTTGCGATAAAAGAAATTAGTGATCGTTAGGGATGTCATAGGATACTATTCACTCTCTCATGCTGGTAAGTGACAGTGCTTATCTATTGAGAGGGATCCTTCCTGTCATCAAAGAGGCTGGCCTCTTCTTAAATTTAGTTTTGTTTTAATTATAATGGTCATTTACTTTTAAAATGGTTTAGTAAATTTTACCAATAATACTGTAATTTACAAAAGATTTAAGTTTTAATATTTAAACATTACATATTTAATTGTAATTATTTGAAACCAATGACCCCAAAGATAAATTATTTATCAATCAATTGCAAGAAGGGAAAGGTACTCACTAGGAAAGAGGAGACACTCACCAATATAGAAAACATATAAGGAGTGACACTTGGTGATTTACTAATTTTACCTGAACACTAAGAAACAGCAGAAGCAAAAAACACAGTAACCATGTAACATTACACAACCTGCATATAGTCCAACAAAAATTAACCCTTAGCCAGTGGCTATGGAGAAGGTCATTCCCGCCTCTGCACAAAAAGTAAAAGTAAAAATTCAAAAAATAATTTTTAATTATAGAATTATAAATTTGTAAGCAAAATGTAAGAAAAACACAAAAATATGCGAATATTAATAGTTTCACTGGGTGGAGGCATTCTCGAAGGGTGTGTGGTGGCTGTGTCTGGCTTGGATGTTTCACTGATTGTTTATCCTTGTTTCTTTTTAGCTACAAGATTATGTGTGTTGAATAACTTGATAAATCACATAATGTGTGTGTGTGTGTGCGCGCGCCACCAATGTGGCGCACGCACACACACACACACACACACACATGATGGCAGGCTCTTCCTAGTGCATGTAACCATGAAATGGTAGCAAGATTTTTTTTCTTGGGTTAAAGTAAACTCCATTACATCCACAGAGAAATGTCACATCCATATTTGCCTCATACATGTAAAACGCAGATAATAAATTGTTTATATCGTCATATGACAACAATTGCATGTACCCCCATGAATCAACTTTTGACGATAACCCCTATCTAAGGGTTAAGCTCTCAATTTAAAAAGGCATTTTTGCTTTTTGCATTTCACAGTCATGAGAGCAGTGTGCAGTGGAAGTTTACCTTGAAATAAATTATATTTTTTCAAGGTATTAATACAATCACTATCTTTCCTGATATTACTTATAAATAAAAAATGACTACGATACAGTACTTCTATTAGTAAACTTGACATATTCTACAACAGTTCTTTACACCACCTGTATAAACTAGTAAACCAAACGCTTGTTCAAACTGGATGAAAGTCTCCAGCATTGTCTTCGTGTGGATATTACAACAAACAATAATTAATAGTAAGATATAAATAAACTCTGTAAGTAATCAAAGTAAGCTGGAGGGAGCCGGACTTTTGATCCTGTGATCCCGGGTTTGATCCCGGGCGCCGGCGAGAAACAATGGGCAGAGTTTCATTCACTCTGATGCCCCTGTTACCTAGCAGTAAATAGGTACCTGGGAGTTAGTCAGCTGTCATGGGCTGCTTCCTGGGGGTGGAGGCCTGGTTGAGGACCGGGCCATGGGGACAGTAAAGCCCCGAAATCATCTCAAGATAACCTCAAGAAAATAAGCCCTCGATTTTTAAGTACAACATTTTATGAGAAAACTAATGCTAGTGGGTGTAGAAGACAAATGGGAGCGAGTAAACAGAGTGCTGAGCACGAGCCTACCTTCATGGTGTTGTGGTGGGGGAGCAAGTACATCATTATGTGGATCCTGCCCATTAACATTCCCAGGATTAATGGGTGCAGCAATTGGCCGGTTATTATGGGCTACCACTGGTTGTTCCACCACTGCTGGCCCTACAATGCCCAAAAAATCTTTGCGTCAGAAATTATAAAAAATTATTTTATATTTATTTTCGAGTTACTATCAAGTTGAAATAAAATAAATATCTATCTTAGTTGTTGGCACATAAAAAGGTTTATACGGCAGTAAATAATGAAGTGGAAAAACATCTAAAACATCTTGATAAGCCTTGGGCATGAGAAAGCAAGGAAAAACTCCTGTCACCAAGAGAATCTAATAAACAATATCATGGTGCCAAGATTATAATAAGCAACAAGGATACACATGCGTAAGGAACATTAACACAGAGAATGTAAATGCAAGAAAAGACATCTTGCCCGAGACACAAGATACACAGGTGACGTGCAGAAGCTGATGACCATCCAAGAGGTTCCTCAGGCAGCACAACCAAGGTTTAAGTGTTGTCTACCTGTTTGAAGGGCAGGCAGGCCCTATCAAACTCTTAATACAGAAATTTTATTGACTGAAAAAATTATTATACAGAATCATTCTTAATAATCAACATAAAATACTAATTAATTCATAAATTTATTGAGAAATACTGTAGGGGATTAATATAGTAAATGATAAAGTATCATTTCAAATCTAATGCAAATAGCATAAATGTTCTTTAGACAAAAATGTAATGACACAGCAGGCCACTTGGTCACTTTCCTTAGTCAATATACTACTTCCCCAGGGACACACTCCATCCATGGCTACATGTCCTAAGCAAATGAAACAAAAAATATCTTGGGATGAATCAACTGTCACTTAAGTTGAGATAACTAGCTAACCAGTTACCTTCTGTTTACACAGCCAGTGCTGTCATCTGGTGGTGGGTGGAGGTAAAAACCCAGGCAGCCAACTGGCAGGTGGCAATTATCAATAGCCAAGCAATACTTGGCCATCTCTTTGATTACAAGCACTGCTTAGAGAAGGTCTTTCTATGTAGCAGAATGTACCTACTGACAGTCAACCAGAGCTAGGCTGAGATTTTCCTATGTCATCCCTTTCCCGTATTTGAACTGGTGGATGTAGTTTGAAAAGATTGCAACTGTGTCAAGGATGTAAATGTTGTACTGACCTGCCTGGAGTCTGCAATGCCCCGGGGGAAGTTAGATATTGCCAAAAGACACCAATTAGGTGGTCTAAGATTAGAAAAAAAAAAAAAAGCTTTTAATGTAATGAAACACTATTTTCTGGGTGAGACCCGGAGGCTTCCCAGAGCTATCCAGGCTGATAAGTATATCATTACACTTTGGCATCAGTGTGAACAGATTTTTAGGTCTATTGGGAATAACGAGCCAGAACCTGGCCCCCTCAGAGAGGCCCGAGGAGCAATGTCCTATATAAATGCACGTGGGATTTGGATCATTCTATGTCTGCCATCGACCGGGCCAGGAACCCAGAAAGGTAAGTGCCTCAAAACAAACCCCTATTCTGGTTAAAACAACTAAAATAGATAAACGAGTGGACAAACTCCCCAAATGAAAACGAGCAAATGAGCATGATGTCACACAAGCCGCGCCACATGTCTGCGCAGCTCCCCCCCCCCTTTCCGGAAGGGGGGAGCCCCAGACCCACCATGCCGGCGATCCACCCTCCAGTTTGAGGCTGGATGTCAAAACACGCGAAAAATCCGCCAACTGGGGGGAGGGGGAGTTGCTGGGAAGCCTAGGGGTCTCGCCCAGAAAATGGCGTTTGATTACATTCAACGCTGGTTTTCTGGGGGGAACCCCTTTGTCTCCCCGGAGCTACATCACCAAAGACAAAAACTAGAGGGACTTACCCGGGAGGCGGTCGGTGCTCGCACTTCAAATTGAAGTTGAGACAACAGGCCGCAACCGCCGACCCAAAGCGACACAGGCCCAACTAGGTCCAGGAACGTTAACGAGGTAGCGTGCAGCCAGGACCATGTTCGACTGCCAAAAACCCTGTGCCCGAATGTCAGCCCAGAATATGTTACCGAAGACAGCAGCCAACGCAGCAAACTTACGAACGTCATGGGCACGGGAATAGATTGCATGCTGGCTAGACCGAATAACCCTGTGGACGACCTGAGAGACCCAAACCCTAGAACAGGGAAGAAGAGAAACCGGGAGACCCTAAGGAGACTTTTGGAAGATCATCCCAAGTCCCATGGGCGGTACTTACAGGGCACTCGGGACAGGGAACCCTAAACACATGCAGCCTGAGTACCAGTGAATATTACTCCCAGCTCGCACACCACCGTAAGAGCAGTACTGAACCCAAGGCACAGCACAAAATAAGAGCATCTAGAGCTGGAGCCACACTACGCTGCCACAATCACATCAACTGAGAACTGGAGGGTGGATTGCTGGCATGGTGGGTCTGGGGCTCCCCACTTCCCCTGGAGGGGAAAGGGGTAGCTGTGCAGACATGCGGCACGATTCGTGTGACGTCATACTCATTGGCTCATTTTAATTTCAGGAGTTCTGTCCACTTGTTTGTCTATTTTAGTCGTTTTAACCAGAACAGGGGTTTGTTTTGAGGTGCTTACCTTTCTGGGGACCTGGCTGTCGATGGCAGACATAGAATGCTCCAAATCCCACGTGCATTTCTATAGGCCATTGCTCCTCGTGCCTCTCTGAGAGGGCCAGGTTCTGGCTTGTGGTCCCCGGTAAGCTTAGAACTCCATTCACATTGTTTGATGCCAAAGTGTAATGATATACATATCGGCCTGGATAGCTTCGGGGAGCAGAAGGGGCTCTCCCCAGAAAAAACTTTGAATTCAAGATGTTTATAAATGTACACTATTCCTCACCTTGAACGGGTTTCACTCGTGGATGCTGGAGGACATGAGCCTGAGTAACCAGAGCATAACGAGGTCTGGCTAAACTATGCAGCTTCATTTCCGGTGCAGCAGCACTGTACTTTTTGGCTACCAACACAAAACAAAGCATTGACACTAATTTAACAAAAGCAAAATACAAAAAGAATATTTCTCTTCTTCTTAGACTAGTTATTTGTATATGTAGAGATAAGCATAACACAGCACTGTACTCAGTTAAATACAAACTCAAATGGAGGATTCATTTAAATGGAGATGTTTACACAAGACTGCACTGATTAAATAAAGATATTTCCATATGAGAAAAAACTTATTTTCGGTTTTATTATTTTAACCTGATAATAATGTTTGACAATGAATAATAATAATAACAGATCTAAGAAGAATAAGAACATGGAACTTTATAATAATTATTACACAAATAAAAAGTAACTATGTACAGTACGCACCAATTAAGACTTCCTTCAGTTGACCAGGAAGGTGAAAAGAGTCAACTGGAGTCAACCCACATTCTGACTGACTGACTGACTGACTGACTGACTGACTGACAGACAGTCAGTCAGTCAATCAGTCAGTCCAGTCCAGTTCAGTCATTAGTCTGTCAATCCAGTCATAAGTCTGTCTAGTCCAGTCCAGTCCAGTCAAACTGACTGATTGTGAGGTTTTAAGTTTACTCTTACTTAAGTGTAATTGTGTACAGACCTGGATATGAAGTTTCAGGTCTCAGGAATTCTCCCCATATTAACTTTGTTGATTTGTGATACAATTTTGTATGACATGATCATATCGCCTCTTTTTCTTCCATCTTCTAGTTTGGCATATTTAATATCAGCCAGTTTATTTATATTATTAATATTTAGTCAGCCTCTAACCTCTCCTCGTAGCTCATGTCTTTCAGTTATGGGAGACATTTAGTTGCATGTCCTTGCACCTTTTCCAGTTTGTTGATGTGTTTCTTAAGATATGAGCACCATACAACCACTGCATATTCTAGCTTTGGTCTAACAAAGGTCATGAACAATTTCTTTAGTATTTCACCATTTAGTATTTCAGAATTCACCAGCAAACCTGAAATTGGAAAGTGAAGCATAGGCTCCTTGTACGATGTTCTTTATGTGGTCCTCAGGTGATAGTTTTCTATCTAGATCCATCCCTAGAGCTCTTTCTTTATTAGAACTTTTTAAAGCTTTTTTACATAATATGTAGGTTGTGTGCAGTCTATGTTCTCCTATTCCACATTGCATAACATGGCATTTATTCACATTGAATTCCATTTGCCACATGATGCTCCATACACTTATTTTGTCTTGGTCATTTTGAAGGGCATGACAATCGTCTAGGTCTGTAATCTTCCCTGGTACCTGAACCCTGTGGTACTCTGCTAGTAACACTCCTCCAGCTGAATACACTGCCTCTAGTGTACCCTCATCTTTCAGGTAGTTAAAAAAAATAATTCATCCATTGAATTAGGTAGCAAGGTATCCATGTCAGCAGTCTCCCTGTCATCCCTCCAACGTATTTCAGTTTCCAGAACAACCTTTCATGTGGGATTATCACAATTTAACTCAATCTGACACATGTTTTACGTCCAGGTCCCCCAATTACTGCTGGGTGTACAGGGATATTTAGAATGATGAAACAACACCCAATTGTTTCATCCTGCTCGGGATATGAACTGAGGTCCTTGTGCTGGCAAAGGAAGTGTTCTACTACTACTATCTAGAATTTCATAAACTATGTAAACATAAGGAGGCAACAGATGATGATACTAATTATACACAAAAGCATGCATCTTTCTATGAAGCCATGGAACAAATTTTATGGTGAAAACATACTACCACAATGTTTATAAAATGCATACAATGCAAAGATCAGTATGAAAAATCATCGTAAAAACAACATTAGCTTATACCATACAGCACGTCTTACCTGGAGCTTGTAGCTGAGGATTTCCTTCATTATGATTCCTTTGGCTGCCCACAGACTGGAGGTTTCCATCACTGGGGTTAGCATGGTTAACAGGTTGAGAGGCAACTAGTATATTTTGAGCTGCAATGTCTTGGACGATATTTCCTGCATTCTGTGATGCTGCTGATTACAAGAAGTATCAGAAGTTAATGCTATTGTGAAGACTGAATAAAATTTAATACACCAAATTATTTATTGGGTCTAATAATATACTGTATAATAAAACCCTAAATAACCTTTCTATACAATACACTAACAAAATGATTTCCAAATTGTTATTATTTGGTGTACATTATACAATGATCAGTGGCATAATTGTACACAAATAATACTTCACTTTCATACTTCTTACCACTTTTTTGATCTGCACATAATTAATTTGAAAGTAAATGCATTAACTACACAAATAGTAATTTAGTGCCAGGCTGAACAAGTGCTGCAGATAAATAAAAAATAACAGATTTCATTTAACAAATTTAGGGTCTTTCTGGCCTTTGCCTCAAGTTTGTGACAATAGAAGACTAACTTCCAAGTTCATTTTAACAATAAAATCTTGACGACTAAACCACACATCAGAAAATGAAGAAACGGCAACGTTTCAGTCCATTTCAGACCATTGTCAAGAATAATTACCGGACTTGTTTTGGACAGTCCTGGTCAATTATCATCGTTTCTTCATTTGCTGATGCATGGTTTGGTTATCGTATCCTCAGCCACGTTATTCTGACTCGTTGTCTGCAATAAAATTTTGTTTCTCCTCCCCCAGGAGTACCTAGTTCAATGAAACAAAAATTGCTTCAAGACTAACAATGAAACAAAAATTGCTTCAAGACTAAGTCTTTATTCATATAAAAAGTGAAGCTGTGAGGTTCCTCAGGATTACTCCTGGTTTGACTTAAGAATGATTGTCACCTTAAAAAAAACGTACAAAGGCTCATTTGCAAAAGGAGGATTTTCTTTTTTTCATTTTAATGTTTACTCTTCAATATTTTTGTTAAAAAAATTAGTAAAGGAGGGACATGCAAGAGTGTAAAAATATATTCAATACCTGCAATACTGTAATGTCAATAAAATTTCATTAAAACTTAACAGTTTTGCCTGTCTCTACTTCCTCATCACAATCGACTTGAGAATGGTCCAGGACGGACTGAAACGTCGTCGTCCCTTCACCTTCTAATGTGTGGTCTGGTCAACATACTTTAGGCACGTTATTGTGACTCATCGCCTGCACTTAACAGTTCTTTACTAAACCTTCAACCTTTCTGCTACACAGTGGAAAGACTTACATCATAGTGATACATACACAGGATGACAACACTATACTTGCCCTCTGCAACAGGTAATGACAAACTCATATACTGATGATGCAACATTATATACAAGAAAGTTTCCATAATGCCAACAGCAAATGAATTTGTGTAAACAAGATAATAGCTGCTCTGTGTTAACATGTTCAGATATACAAAGCAAAGAATATTCAGTAGCTTCAGATCTGTGTTTTAACAAGACTTAAAGGTTTAAAGCATCAAAATATCCTGGTTAGGAGAGTTAAGGAGTTAAGATTATCTGTATTACTTTGATGCTTTATGCTTTTTTTGAGGATTACTCTTTCATATGGTATAGCTTTATGTAGAGTTTTCTCCAGGCTTCTGAATGCTTTTTAAGTGGCCAAGCTTCTTGCAACGAACCATAGCAACATTTGCCAGAGAACGACACATGCTGGTTTGTCAAGCAAAATAGTGAAACAACTGCCACTTGCATGCACTAAGATCAGTAAACACAATACTACTACTTTATCATCCACATGCAAGCAGGAAACTAGTTAGCAGGCATTAACACTATTATTATTAAAAAAAATAAAAAATAAAATAAAAATAAAAATTATTATATATATATATTATATATATATATATATATATATATATATATATATATATATATATATATATATATATATATATATATATATATATATATATATATATATATATATATATATATATATATATATATATATATATATATATATATATAAAAATAAATAAAAATGTATATGTGTACAGTAACGTTAATGCTGCCTGCACCCAAATATAAGTCTCAGTGGACTGGGTGAATGGAGTACAAGCAAAGAACACCACTCGAAAACTAACCTATCTCACGACGGTCTAAACCCAGCTCACGTTCCCTATTGGTGGGTGAACAATCCAACGCTTGGTGAATTCTGCTTCACAATGATAGGAAGAGCCGACATCGAAGGATCAAAAAGCGACGTCGCTATGAACGCTTGGCCGCCACAAGCCAGTTATCCCTGTAGTAACTTTTCTGACACCTCTTGCTTAAAACTCCTAAAGTCAAAAGGATCGATAGGCCTTGCTTTCGCAGTACACACCTGATGGTTCCTTGGCCAAGTCAGCAACACTGAACCTGGGTTTGCTGCGGTGAGCATTGGGGGGATCTCTTGGAAGGATAGGAAGCTCACGGTGGAATGTGATACCATGCAATCCCATGTCACGAGTGTGGACTGCTCCTCGTGAGACGTAGCCAAGCTGACCAGGCCCAAAGTATGGCGCTGGGAGTCATTATGAAGTCTCGGGTTAGTGAGATACAGTATCTTTACTCTGGAGTCTTACCATTCATTTTCCTTTAAATACTATAAAAAAGACTGACATGGAATAGTTTTTCTTTTGTCAGCAACAGCTGTACTTCAACACCACTAACAAATAAATACATCTTTCTTAGTGGGTGTTTAATACTGACATTGACAAGTATGACTATACAGTTTTATAATAGAAACATTGATTAACATATATAAATTTAAGGTTCATTCTTCAAAATATCCCAAATGTCAAGCTTTGTCAAACAAAAGAGAATCAACTATTAAATCAAGTACACAAGTGTACAATATAAAAAGTTTCTTTGTTAATAAATTTTGTTTATGTAAACCAGCATTGAATGTAATAAAACACCATTTTCTGTGTGAGACCCAGAGGTTTCCCGGAGCTATCCAGGCTGATATGAATGTATTAGACCCTGGTATTAGTCAAGTGAATGGAGTTCTTAGGCCTACCAGGGACCATGTGCCAGAACCTGGCCCCTTCAGAAAGGCACGAGGAGCACTGGCCTATAGAAACCCCCCTGTGTTTCCCTGTGTCCATGACGAATGTCATGGGCATGAGGATAGACCGCAGACTGGCTGGGCCTAATAACCGTGCGGACGACCTGGGAGACCCGAACCCTGGAACAGGTAAGAAGGGAACCTGGGTCAGCCCAAAGCGCATCCCTGGCCACCGAGCCTGTGGCACTCAGGTAACCGTGAAGAGCCGCAACCGGACACAACACATGATGCACCCCCGGCCAAACCAACCAAGCATCAACAACCCAAGGACCCCTCTGGAAGGCAGCAGTCTCATTCTTCGCCAGAAAAGAAGAGGACGGCTGCAAACGAACAAACCTACCACCATAATCAAAAAGAGCAGAAACCTCTGTGCCGGAGAACATGAAGCTTCCCAACCTGAGCCCCCCAGAAGCCAACACCAACAGGAAAAAAAGAACCTTCACAAAACAATTATGAACTGAAGGGGCCACAACAAACCGAGGAGAAGATAGAGAGGAGAGCACCCGGTCCAATAACCAAGACGGCTCAGGTGGCACATGAGCAGGCCGGAGGTGAAACAACGCACAAGACAGCTTGTGGAATGGAGCAGAAGTAACATCAACTCCGAACGCAAGCTGAAGCAGCTCCGCCAGTGCGGCACAACATGAGGCGACAGTATTCGGCGTAAGACGGCGGTCCTGGAACAACCACGATAGGAAGGACAAGACAACCCTATCTGGAACAGAAGAAAACCTACGAAGGGAAAAGAAATTAACGGAAGGACCGCCAGGAAACTTCATACCAAGATGAAGCATGCAGGTGGGACACCATCAAAGAAGCCACCTGCTCACCATACAAGTGGTGATAGACCCGTGCTAGAAAGACGCGAAGACTTGAGAAGATTGAACCTGCTACATAACGGACTGGTCCGACCTGCTGAAAGAGGCGGAGCCTTGGGAAGACCGACCCCCGGGTTCGGACACCGAACAAGCAGTGCCTGAAACCAAGGCTGGGCCTTGGCAAACTGGACTACACTCCCTTAGTAAGTCTCCAAGCGAGCTAGGACCTAGAGCAACAGTGGAACCAGGAGGACGAGGTACAGGTAATGCCACCTAGACCAGTCCTGCTGAAGGCATTGACTGCGACGACTTCGTAGTCGGGACAGGGTGCCACATATATAAGGAGATGCCATGATCATGCCGACACAGAGGTTCCCCTCCAGGAGCCTGTACATCCAGCAAAGCCAAATGAATGAGTCGGCGTCAACTGTCCATTCCATGGACAGGGGGAATGAACCCAGACAGGCCATCCACCAGGATGTTGAACACCCCCCGAATGTGAACAGCTAGGAAAACCAAACCCCGAGAACTCAGCAGACCAGTCACCCGAAGTGACCAGCCCTAAATAGCCAAGAACCACAACGAACCACGGTTCAGGCAGTGAACCACTGAGGAGCAGTCCGAGTGGAGCCGAAACATCGATCACCCAAACCCTCCGAAGCAACATCCACACAGCCGCGAACACCTGCACCGTACTGTGTACCCGACGGAAGGATAGACCCCACCGCCCCTGGCCGGCCCAGTGAGCATGGGTCACAAAGCCCCAGCCAAGAGACAACAAGTCCGTGAACACATCAAGCGAGGGCTCAGGTAGGCGTCAAGGCAGTAAACCCCTAAAAACCCAAGGAAGAAGCCAGCGAAGCAGCAGCAGACGTAGATCACCTGGAAGCTGAACCCAGCGATCGCGAGAGAGGCGGAATGGACGTCCCCAAAGGAGCCAGAACTGCTAACGAAGCCGAACCCGGCCAGGCAGGTAGAACATCATGTTAAAGTTCAGACTCTGAACTCTGGGTTAATGACACCTATGACCCGGAGTCTTGCATTCTCTGCTTGTTCTCCACGGCCTGTAGCCATGGAAAATTGAACGATAGCCACACCAGGCAGACCCTCCCCCCACCAGGCAAGAAAAAACAAAACACAAGAAAAACCCTGCAAAAGTACAACGTCCCTAGAGGAAACAGGAAGTGGGCGCCGCACAAGTAGGCAGGCTGCACACCTTGACACTCCCTACCCCATGGCAAAACAAGGGGCACGAAACCACAGCTGGTCCCAAGGGCAGGGTAAATGCCAAGCAGCAAAACCCCTATGGAAATGGTTATCCTAAATGCACCAGGGAAGGGAACCCCAACATTCAAGGGTAGTACTCACAGGGCACCTAGGAAAGGATGCCCCCTAAGCACATGCAGCCCCAGCACTGATGAGGAACACCTGGCCACCACACACAACAACACTGCAGAGGTCACACAACAACGAACTGGAGTGCTAGGTAGCTGGTGCGTGGAGGAAGAGCTGCGCAGATGAGCAGCGTGGCTATGGAGTGCGACGTTTACTTGCTTGTTTCTTGGGATTGGAGGGAGTTCTACCTCTCTCTCTTTTCAGTTTTTAGTTGTAATTTTTTTACCATGTAGGGTTTGTTTTGTTATGCCTACCTATCTGGGTGCCTAACCTTGGTTGACGGCAGATAAGAAAAAACCCCAACCCCAAGGGGAAATTTTCCAGGGCAATTGCTCCCTGTAACCTCTCTGAGGGGGCCAGGTTCTGGTTCGAGGTCCCTGCTAGGTCGAACTCCTTAGACTAATGGCCCGGTCTAATATATCACACACATTAGCCTGATAGTTCCAGTGAGCCAAAGGAGCTCCCCTACAGAAACTAGAAATCAACATTTTCGCCTGGGGATGACGCAGTATGGCGTCAAAAATTTATTAGATGAATGTGTGGGAATGATGCAGTATGGCGTCAAAAATTAAAAAAAAAAAAAAAGTCTAAAATTTAGGTTTTCATCTGATTTTTTTGGGACTGGTTTTAAAATTGGCGTCAACATCTTCCCATTTTCTGTGATGGCTCATGTGGCACCGAGGCAGCAAGACCCAGGAGGCATTTGAGAGGTGGATATGGGCATGTAACGGGTGGGCCAATGTGTGTATGCTCACGGGTAACACATGGCATGCTTTTGGCTTGGCTGCGAGTGGAGCGCTGTGCAGTTTTGAACATTATATGCATATACTCCTGTAGGGAATTCTATTGCGAACACATTGATACCAAAATGAAAGAGCTGGGATGAGAATGGGGTGACAAAAGAGTATTCACATTTTATTGCTTTTGCGCACTCACTGGGTAACGAGCGACCAATTTCTCGGTTTGTTGCGGGTGGTACGCTGGGCTTTTGGACTTTATATGCATATACGTATTCCTGTAGGGAATTCTATTGCAAACACATTGATACTAAAATGAAAAACGTAGGATGAGAATCGAGTGACAAAATTGAAAAGAGTATACACTTTTCAGTATTACTGCACGCTTCCTTGGAATGCCCGGCCCACATTGGGGTGGGCGCGCACTCGCTCGCCCAAAGCGCGAAAGTGTTTATATAATCATAATCAGATCAAATTCTTGAAGTGGCAATGTCACTGGCTTTCCTAAAAAGTTTTGACTAGTTTTCATGTAAGTTTCACTTAGTCGATATACTGTAATCATATAACTTTAAATATAGTAATATTTATGAAACCTTATACTGTATATTGCAATACATAAATTATAAAACTTGATTTCAATATAATTGACATAGTACTTTTGTAATATAATTCTAGATCCTGGAATACATCCAATTTTTTAAGTAGAATTTCACCAAAAACAAAAGAGGTGAGAATGTGTCGGGGAACACATTCCTTCATAAAAGCCCAATATACGATGTAAATGACAAGACAAATCTTCATATCTAGGCATCAATAGCAGTCAAAGCACTATTACTAGATGCTGAAGTCAATTTTTTGTTTTCCTACACTACGCAAGCATTTACTACAGCAGAACATGGTGCCAACCACAACACTCTGCCCTCAACATGGCTTCACACATTAAAAACCAACCCTTTAGCATTAACCTCAATACCTAACATCATATGGTACATTAATGAAGTACAGTAGAGTACTAGCAAGTAGTTTTTGAACCAAATATGTAGAGAGAGAAACCAAAAATAGAGCTGAAAGGATAATAATTTTAAGGCGAGTAGTAAAAGGTAGGGAATAAATACCACTAGGAGATATATGGCACATGCATTATAGACAGTATTTAATGTTATAAACAGCAAAATTCAAAGACTACTCTTAAACATTTGCGTTAAAAATCAAACATTACTAATGTTCTGTAGTAAATTGTCTTCACTATAAATTCTGCTAATAGAAGAAAGAAAAAATGATGATGAAGTGATAAAGTACTGTACATGAACAGTGTAAATACAAAAATTTAAGCAAAATACAGATTTAAAATTATATCTCACTGTGGAGAGAGAAAATTTGGATACAGTACACATGTACATACGAGTAATTTATGTAAAGACAACATACTAACAATTGAGGATGAAAAATACACTAGTAAATAGAATACAGGAGCAAGTACAATACAGTGAAGTAAATTTAATAAATCTTGAGAACATAATTGGAACAGAACAGGGGAATTGACCCCATCATCTTGGGTAACCCCCAGACATGCATTTTAATCTATGGATCACGATATGCTAAGATTATATAACCTGAGATCCGCCTGGATACACTAGGCATCCGGAGGCATCAGACTCCTAGTAGAGCCCATCCAAGTTTTACATATAACCAGCATACACTCTGGTGTAGGTAATGTAATTCTCCACCAAATGCTACCATCAAATACACAAGGAAATCACAATAATGTGATATAGCTATGAGAATGATTTTCTATGATTTTCCCAGATATATATATTATTATGATTTCCTTACGTATTTAATAGATCATGATTAACCCCTGCACTGCGCACCTGTTTTTGGCAAAAACTTCATAGTGCTATTGATAAGGACATATTTTTGTTGTTTTTATAATGTACAGGTAAAGTTAATGTCAAAATGTTTCCAAACTCAACTATTTTCATTTCAAAACACAAAGAGTGATGAAAACATTAAAATATAGCCTAATAAAAAAAAAAAAAAAACGGACAACTCTCAAAACAGCATTTGTCGTTTGGCACAGTGCAGTGGTTAATGAAGCCTCTGCATTGGCACCAAGTGAGTGTTATCAGACAAACTTTGACTTTATAAAACAGGTTGTTGTCTGGCAAAATCCAAAGCTTACCTTACCTTGCGGTGATTCCGGGGGTCAAGGTCCCCACGGCCCAGTCTGTGACCAGGCCTCCAAAATTACCACATCGATTTGCATAGGATTATCCACCTTTAAAATTACTGTTTTAAAAAATTACTATTACGGTGTGAACTCTTTTAAACGAACTATATGGGGTGAAGCACATTCATTGCATGATGAAAGGTCCTTCATCCACTGTACTGAACATACAGGTAGTGACTTACCTTACCAGGGCAGCAGTGTACTGCTGCCCTGGTAAGGTAAGTCACAACCTGGTAGGGTTGTGACTTACCTGGTAGGGTAAGGTAAGTCACAACCAAATTTTTATCTTCCAAAATAACCCTGAAGCATATTTAGGCAAATACAAATTCATCATTACCCATATTTCTAAAGCACTATTAAAATAACAAAAGCTGACAGAAAATAAATTTATTGTGTAATCTTCATTTGACTGTCACATATGAAAGAGCAATCAGTGGCAAACAATTTGGTGTCCTAATTATATGATATATGATATTTAACCCTTAAACTGCGCAACGCACCTGCAGGCCCTTGTCTGGTTTGCGCAACACGCCTCCGGGTATTTGTATTTTTCACATTCCATTCAAAACTACCACGGCTACAGGGGGTTCACATCAGCTTCCTCAGGGCTCTTGTAAACAGACGCTATTTAAAAAAAATCATGGGCAACATTCCCGGGTGTGAGTGCCTCAGTACTGAATGAGCCACCAAGGCTGGCGCACACAGCATGAGCTCACAGCACTGCTGTTCAGCTTGTGACCACAGCATCGCCTAATAATGTCAAAATAATTATAACTTTAATTATTTATCCATGATAGTATTACAGAAGAGCCTGAGTGTGATAATGACTGTGTGTACAAGATCAAATATCAGTGATTCAATGCTGTTCACAATGTTCACAGCGGTAGACACAGCACCACAGCATTATTTTGTTTATCTAGGAATCTTCAAACGACTTCATATGTTACTTTACAAAATAAACTTGTGGTCAATTATTCATTTACAGGATTTAGTGACCAGTATTGTGATAACAGCAGGATTGTGGTAATAATAAGCACTGTGCGAAGTATTGTGGAAGGAGAAATTGGGGTGAGGGAGGGAGGGAGAGAATCGCGGTAGCCTCACTGTACTCACCTAGTTGTGTTTGCGGGGGTTGAGCTCTGGCTCTTTGGTCCCGCCTCTCAACCGTCAATCAACAGGTGTACAGATTCCTGAGCCTATTGGGCTCTATCATATCTACACTTGAAACTGTGTATGGAGTCAGCCTCCACCACATCACTTCCTAATGCATTCCATTTGTCAACCACTCTGACACTAAAAAAGTTCTTTCTAATATCTCTGTGGCTCATTTGGGCACTCAAGTTTCCACCTGTGTCCCCTTGTGCGTGTGCCCCTTGTGTTAAATAGCCTGTCTTTATCTACCCTATCAATTCCCGTCAGAATCTTGAATGTGGTGATCATGTCCCCCCTAACTCTTCTGTCTTCCAAATGTATTTGGAACTGTGCGCAAAAAAGTAACAAAAATATATTTGCGGCAACTCACGCATCCTGCCCTGGGCACCCTACCGGCCCTGGGGGCGTATGCCACGGGCAACTAGGGAATGATGATGTCACACACGAACTTACAGACCTCATAGCAGCCAAAGTATGTACAATTTTGACCTTCTGTTACTATACCCATACTCAGGGAAGGGTTTTTGACACTTTCAAAACAAAAAAGAATTTTTTCCAGAGAATTTGTTTCCTGCGCACTGGGGGGTGTCATATTTGGAAGCCGAGCAGTTGAGGGGTTAATTAGGTCTCTAGACATAACTTGTGACTAGGCAATTTTCTGCTCAATAGAAATAGGACATTTAGTGGAAGTCTACGGAAGTATCTGAATGTCACATTCAAAAAAGGAATTTTTCCATGTCCATTCAGAGCTTCATTTGTGTGAAAACCTGGGTATAGAAGAGATTTATCATTTGCAGTAAGAAAAATCCCAACAATTTTAGATATTAAATAGAAAAAATAAGAGCCTCAATTTAAGCTAAATCTTTGATTTGATGGTATGAGGTCAGGTTCCAAGTACAGTAGTCCGTTAAATTGAGGCTCCAATACCGTATGTAAAAATATGAGATGCTAATAAGCTTGAGACAACCTGCGGCACAGTGTAAAAAATATGAGATCAAATATGATTCAAGTATTGGTGCACAATCAAATTAGTTAGGAATATGATATCAGGTATTTTATATATATTTAAAAAAGGAATAAATTATTATACCCAAATGCCAAAATTAAATTAATTTTATGAAAAATACATTTTCTATTTAAAACCACAACTTATAAAATATAAACTATCAAAAGCAAAATAACACTAATTATGACAAGACCACACACTAGAATATGAAGGGACGATGACGTTTCGGTCCGTCCTGGACCATTCTCAAGTCGATTGGTGAATCAACTTGAGAATGGTCCAGGACGGACCGAAACGTCGTCGTCCCTTCATATTCTAGTGTGTAGTACAATAACGTGGCAAAAGTATGATGACACATCATACTTTTGCCACGTTATTGTGACTCATCGCCTGCATAACACTAATTACATGTAACTGAATTTCAAAGACAAAAAATGTAAAGATCTTCTCACCTTTCTTTTCAATATTAGGCAAGTTCATAGCACCTGGAACAATATTGGGCTGAGCCATGGACAGCTTCTCACGTCGTACTGCTGCTACCTCTTCCTCAGCCTAAAATGGTTTAATTAATTACACCACATGTTTTACACAAAGAACAGAAAATGTATGTTAACAAACTAGAATCAAATAAAAATTTAAAGGATTACTTAAATTATAGTAATACCAAAAGATGCTTGATAATGTCAAATCTCCCAAAGGAAAAATGAAATACAATTAGTACATGAAAAATGCAATGCAGCACACTGTACACAATTACCAAAAGCAAACTGAAAACAACAGAAAATTTACAGACATTAGGGAGACGTATTAAATTACAACTACAATATTTGAATTTTCAACTTTTATTTAAGGAGGGGAAAAACAAAACCCATAAGAGGCAGAGGAGGCACATATAACAATCTTATTTTGTAGTCAGAAATGTTTATTATATGAAAGCAATAAAAATAATTATCTTCCAGGTAAATGGAAGATAAACTGTCTTAAGCAATTTAAGACTGAATGACATTATACTCTATGTAAAAAATAAAGATAATAAACCATACCTGAGCAGCAATGCATTAAAAATAAAACTCTTGATTCATAAATCATTCTGATCCACAACTTACCATTAATAAAGTGCTTTACAGAATAGTACTGATTCTCTACTAATAAAAAGCAATTAAGAACAGAAAACGTAGCTAGTGATATAGCACCAGCAAGTCCAAAAAACCAAAACAGAGAAAAAGGAACATCAAAACCCAACACTGCACCTTAAAGTCACTTATGGAAGACAAAAACATGGGAGGTAACCTTCTTTCAGAATTTACAACACAGGCTATACTCAAAGTTCTTGAACAGCACAGCAATGCTGTTCAATTTTCAAGCCTTCTAAATGTGATAAGATGACAGATTAAAGTGCTGCCCATTACTCAATATGACATTAAGGTTCTACCTTGAGATGCTCAGCCTCGAGTGCCCCAGTTGAGGCTATGAGCTTAGACACACTATCCTGGCATTCTGTCAGCTCAGCAACAGTGTTTGCTATTTTGATGTTCAGACTATCCACATTGGTCTTCAGAATCCCATTTCTTGACTTTTCCTGGAAGGGGTTTGAGGATTGCAATCTAATTAGAGATTTAGCAAAGCAAGACAAATTGACCATTAACTTAAGATGCCAAGGGTAATGCCACACTCCTACACCTATAAAACAAACAGTTTGCAGAAATATGTATACCCACTCCCAACACATGCTAAAATAAATAGCCCAAGAGAAAGATTGAGAAAAAGAAACCTTCCCCAGACAAACAACATATTTGCAGCAGAAGGCATAGTCTGTTAGAGCTTCAGCAGGAAAGTCATAACTCTTCTAATATAATCATTCTACCTTCTGCTCCTTTGTTTTAAGAGTTTTTGCCAAGGTTTCAAGTTCAGAAAACTTATCCTGACACTCTGCCAAATCACCAAAGATTTGGCTAACTTTCTTGTTTAGATCGCCCACGGAGTATTGAAGAGCGTTGCTTCTCGATTTCTCCTGCAATAGTGCAAGGCTGAAGCTTCAAGGAAATTTTGTTAATCCTCTCTGCAGTATCCTAACTCTTATTTACACATTTTCATTAAATTCCCACATTTTCTTGCCCTTATGATTACAGGCTTTCACTTTTGACATAACCAGCCTTCCCTCAGCACAGAATATATGCAACTCATTACCAGATCTTCAGTGTAAAGGTTTCTTTAGAATTACAGTAATTCCTAAGTGATGCTATCACACCTAACAACAAACTGTTTCAGTATATAATATGTGGCATCATGATATGTTATTTAAACCTGTATTTATCACAGTCTTGCGAGAAAAAATCTATAGTGTTAGGAATAAATGAGGTGAATATACTGTAATTGAATAATAAGGATAAAAGATAAATCTAATCATCAGAAATGGATTCGATATGATTTTACCTGCAAAAAAACAGTGTTGAATGTCATGAAACGCCATTTTCTGGGTAAGTCCCGAAGACTCCCTGGAGCTATTGGGCTATTATGCGACATATTAGACTAGGGGCATTAGTCAACAGAGTTCAACCAACCGGGGACCACGATTCAGAACCTGGGCCCCCTCAGAGAGGCACAGGGAGCAATGCCCTTTGGAAACCCCCCCTCCTGTGGTTGGTGGTTTTCCTAATCTGCCATCAACCATGATTAGGCATCCAGAAAGGTAGGCATAACAAAACAGACCCCACTTGGTAGGAAAATTGCAACCGAAAACCGAACAGAGGCAGAACTCCCCCAAATCCCAAAGAAACAAGCAAACAGCACCTCTCACTGCTTGTCTGCACAGCCTGGGAGGGGAAGAGGGGAGCCCCAGACCCTCCGCACCGGCTACTCAACGACTTCAGTTAGGAGGCTAAGCATCAAAACAACGTGAAACAAGGAGGGAGGGAGGGAGGGTGCCAGGGAGCCTCTGGGGCTCATCCAGAAAATGGCCTTTCAATACATTCAACGCTAGTTTTCTGAGGGGAGCCCCAACGGCTCCCTGTAGCTAAATAATCAAAGATAAGGAAAAAGAGGGTCTTACCCAGTAAGCAGCCGCCACACAACTCCTCAACTCAACAACGCCACAACTCCTCCTCAACCTCAACCCCAAGCCACAAGGGCAGTACTTACAGGGGACCTAGGGAAGGTAACCCTAGGCACTTGCAGCCCGAGTACAGGTGAAATTATTTCTGGCTCGCACACCATCCAGGACAGGACCACACCACAAGGCACAGCATTGGAACAAGTCTGGAGCCAGAGTTGCACGACCTCCAGGTCTCATATCAGCCACTGACCTGAAACGTGGATAGCCGGCACCGGGGTCTGGGGGCCCCCTTCCCCATCCCTGGGAGGGGGGGAGCTGCACAGACAATGGCGTGGTGACAGTTGTGACATCATGCTCGTTTGCTCGTTTTCGTTTGGGGGAGTTCTGTTCGTCAGTTTGGCTTTCAGTAGCAATATTTTAACCAGATAGGGGTTTGTTTTAGGGCGCCTACCTTTCTGGGTGCCTGACCTGATCGATGGCAGACATAGAATGCTTCCAACCACACGGGGGTTTCTATACGCCATTGCTCCCTGTGCTTCTCTGAGGGGGCCAGGTTCTGGTTCGTGGTCCCCAGTAGACCTAAGAACTCTATTCGCTTGACTGATGCCAGGCTCTAATACATTCATATCAGCTCAGACAGCTCCAGGAAACCGAAGGGGCTCCACCCCAAAAATACTATGTACATGTTATAAACAAGTGTAATTTTCTTGAATCATTTGTGCAAGAAGCCACCTCAATTCACAGCTTCAAAGGCAAATATAATTAAGTACTAGAACATTAGGAAATATCAATAAAACATGTACAACAGCTATAAGGTGGGACCCTAGTGCTATATCACACTCTCCATAGACACAGGTAAGCACAGCATGTTAGGGGAAACCCAATACAATCACAGTACTCTACTCTTTTTGGAGGAAGGAAGAGATGAAAGTGGAGAAAAGTTAGTAATGTACTACCCCCTTTCCAGATCATTAATGATAATAAAGAGGACAAATAAATAATATATAATTAATATTAAGATATTCAAATAGTTTTCATAACTCTACCTCCCTTTTCTAAATACCAAGGTTCAGTAACTAGTGGGGAGTACATGGTAATCAGTAAATAATGCACATATATATACCGATATTGAAGCGTGGCTGTAGAAGAAGTGAAAGCTACTCACTCACCTGCTCTAGCTGTCGTTTAAGTGTATTAATGAGAGCATCCTTCTCAGCAATGGCTTCAACTGCATCATCACGTTCAGTGGCCAGATGAACGTTTGTTTCTTTTGCCTTTGAAAGCTCTGTTTCATGATCTTCTAGTTGCTGGGTTATGGTGTCCTAAGAAAGATAAAGAATCTTGCTTATAAATGTATTTATAAAAACTAAAAAATATGATAAGTAAATTAGAAAGTCATTAAAAAATAAATTTTTATACAAAAAACCAGCGTTGAATGTAACGAAACGCCATTTCTGGGTGAGCCCTGGAGGCTCCCTGGAGCTTATCGGGCTAATGTATGTTATAATAGACCGGGACATTAGCTATAGAGTTCAGACCTACCAGAGATCAGCTCCAGAACCTGGCCCCTTCAGAGAGGTTTCAGGGAGCAGTGGCCCTGGAAAACCCCCTTGTGGTTGGGGGTTTTCCTTATCTGCCATCAACTGGGGTTAGGCACCCAAAAAGGTAGGCACAACAAAACAAACCCCACATGGTAAGAAACAAACAAAAAAACGAACAGAGGTAGAAACTCCCTACAATCCCAAGGAAACAAGTAAATAAGCAAACATCACACTTTACTGCCACGCCACTCATCCGCACAGCCCTCCCCTCCCTGAGAGGGGGTAGGGGGCCCGGACCTCAACGCGCCGGCTGCCTAGCACTTCAGTTCGGAAGCTAAGCTTCAACCAACACAAAAAAACGCTGACCGGTGGGAGGGAGGATAACCAGGGAGCCTTCGGGGCTCACCCAGAAAATGGCGTTTCATTACATTCAACGCTGGTTTTCTTTGGGGAGTCCCTACGGCTCCCTGGAGCTTCATACCCAAAGAGAAGGAAAAGAAAGGGCTAACCCGGGAGGTGGCCGCCACAAACTCCGCAACACAAAGTCGAGACAACAGGCTGCAACCTGCGACCCAAAGCAACACAAGAACGTCCAGGAGCAGACAAGAACACAAAATAACGGGCGGCCAGGAACCTGCGCGACCTCCAAATCCCTACGCCCGAAATGAGCCCAAGACATGTTACCAAACACGGCAGCGAAAGCTGCAAACGTCCGAACAGCACAGGCCCGAGGATAGACCACAGGCTGGTTAAACTTAATAACCCGTTCACAGGGTTATTAAGTCTAACTTTCGGGTTATTAAGTTGGCTTTCTTAACTGTGGAAAAATTAAATTGGCAATATTTTGTCACCACCTGAAGCAGCTAACATGCGAAGGTAAAGCCTTACGTTGTAATTTACAGTTCTTTAATCTGTACCAGCACATTAGGGATCATCTCAAATGGTCCCTTCCAGGGCATAATACTGTTGCTAGTAAATTTTGAAGAATAAAGCATTAAAACCAGCCAAAGAATTACTGCAAGACAGAACATTCCAAATAATTAAAAAGACAGTCAAAGTGTCACTTGGCGTCACAAGGTTTGCCAGAGCTTTCACAAACTTTCCGTTGCCCTGCCCAGCCACTATCTCTGGCCAACACCAGACAGCAACATAATGATGGCAAAACCTCTGGGAAAAAAATACACAAAATGCAAGGAAGGGGAACATCACCAAGATGTCATGATAACCAAGAATAATCATGACTGCTCTATAGATCCCACAGAATAATATAGAGTACTGTATGTGTGACAGAACACTTGATTAAGTTTGATCATAGGTGGAAATGCCATATTGACACCAGTCGGTTCAGTCGATACAGAGGTCCTGCGGTATTGCACTTCACACACTCAAGTGGATAAGAACCGACTCCAACAAGCAGAGTGATGAAGATGGATCTGCCAGGCACGAGAGTAAGTGTTGTTGACAAATGAACACCGAACTTCATTCTAGAACTAAACCAAACAATACCCAACCATGTATACTGAACTATACAATCAAGCAAAAATGTTTGCACTAATAAGGATATACTGTACTCACAATGTGTTCTTGCAGCTTAACAATTTTATTCTTCAAACTGGTTATTTCATATTCTTTCTTTTGATTATCTTGATCTTTTGTCTTCAGGATATCTCCCTCTTCTTGCAATTTCTTTTTTAATTTAGCAGATATACTGTCCATTTCATGTACGGTTTCTTGTAGAGCTGCATTTTTATTCTCTGACTGTTCCTGTTTCATGGCACTGAAATTTTAAAAGATTAATGAACCACGAACTCGGAGGAAAAAATTAATATTATACCTGTACACACACACACACACATCCATATATATATACAAGTACTGTGGAACCTCAAGTGACGAGCGCCTCAATCTACGATCATTTCGAATAATGAGCACACCACTCGGCAAAAATTTGTCTCGATTGACGAGCTTTTGCTTGATTAACCCTTTAACTGCGCAACTCGCCTGCAGCCCCATGTCTGGGGTGCGCTACGTGCCTCCAGGTATTTGTATTTTTCACGTTCCATTCAAAACTTCTGCGGCTACGTGGGGTTCACATCAGCTTCCTCAGGGCTCTTGTAAACAGATGCCATCTTTAAAAAAAATCATGGTCCACATTCCCGGGTGTGAGAGCCTCAGTAGTGAGTGAGCAACCAAGGCTGGCGCATGCAGCATGAGCGCACATATTGACGCTCATGCACTGCTGTTCAGCGTGTGACTACAGCATCGCCTAATAATGTCAAAATATATATAAATATAAATTGTAACAGTACAACTTCAATTCAAGAATGTATCACTCAGCGTAGGCAGTTCTAATCGTCTCCAAGACGCTACAGCTTCGACACAGAACTGACAGCAGACTAGGACCGTATCGAGCTACAACGCTCTCCCACATAGAGCTCCGTGACTCCGGCCACACTCAGCTTTCTGCTCTGCTCTAAGCTCTGTCTCAACGTCTACGACACTGCTGCATCCAGGACTACTAAATAAATATGACTCACTAAACACTGTATCTAATCAACCCAACAACGTAACAAATGTACGTTACAAATTACACGATTTCAATATTTTTGTTTATTTATTTATATAACAGTTCTTACATTTTTGAACAGCCACTAGCACACATACCGTTTCGGTCAAGTCCTTAATCCTTATTTTTACAAACATACATCACCAGGAAGCAGCCTGTAGCAGTTGTATAACTCCCAGTTACCTATTTACTGCTAGGGAACAAGGGCCTCAGGGTGAAAGAAACTCTGCCCACTTGTTTCCGCCTCCACCGGTGATCGAACCCGGACCCTTAGGACTATGAACACCGAGTGCTGTCCACTCAGCTGTCAGACCCCTTAGTTATTGATGTTTAGAAAAATAGTGTATAGCAATATATAAATGTCATTCAAATTAATTCAAGCATAGTGTTAATCGGACATGCTAAAGATTTAGGCCTACCAGGAAACCCAATGACTTAAGCACTACACTGTTGATTTGATGTTGGGCTTAATGCCTACAAACCACAGTAGTAGTTGGTAAGCATTAATAAAGTTAATAAAGTCGTGACACTTGCTTAATGACCAACCATCGAGTATACTTCAGTTAAGGACATACTCCAGTACTAAAGTAAACTCAAATGTATGTACACCTAGAAGTTGGGTATACCTCCAGGTGTATATATATCCCTTATGATCTTACAGTTGTCGTAGTTACCACATCTTGAACTATAATGAGTGAGTGTTGTTGGTGGCTGTGTAAGGTAGTGAGGGTGATGGCAGTTGTCAGTGAGGTGAGTGGAAGCATCAGCTGGGTGTTTACCAGCTCCCACATGCCAGAGACGGCCCCCTCGCCCACACTCTCACCTCCCTCCTTACCTGATCTTCACCTCCGCCTGCAGCTTCTCCACTTCCTGTTGTAAGTCGGCATTTTGTGAAGTCAGTGTCCAATAGTTAAACCCCAAGATAAGGACAATTAAGACTAGACCCACCAAAATAAATGGTGGAGTCCGGCCACTGCCTCTCCGTATCATCTTCACTGCCACACAGCCACTTGCTGCGAATGGCCTGTCAAGCGTCTTATTGCCAATATGTAAACTTATTAACTTTCACATTTGCAGCATTATTGGTTCTTTATACTAGTATTATAATCATGATTCATGAGACAATATAAGCGAGAAGTGGGAATAATGGGGTAATAATAAATACAAAGAATATGAAAGACTAAGCCAGGGCCAGGCAAGAGGTGCGGACACTGTACACAGATGACAACACAAGGTGCCTGGCAACATAATAGTAACAATAGTTTGTTCTTTATCTATTCAACAAGTTTTGTGTCTCCCAGTAGTGCTGATTAATATTAAACAAAGCGCTGCGGAATGATCTTTCAGCATAGTTTGAGTGTTTCTCTTAATCCAAATGCAAAGCAGGCATATTAATAATTCCATTATAAATTACCAAGTCTTTCCATAGTACACTGGGGTATATGCACTCATAGGAATGCCATGTGAAACATTTAAGTCTACCCTGACAGTGACAGGACACTTAGTATGTAGCTTGTTGAAGTCTCCCTAGAGAATGGCGGGGTTTTGTTCACCCATTCACTGTTGACTTATAACTGTGAACTTGAAATCCTTTAATTATAACTCCCACGCAGCACATTCACTAATTGTATTGGGTGGCACAGGAGCGGCCTTGCTTCTTGCGGGGTCGACGCTCGATCGCCGATATTCTAATTAAGTGGCGTAGCACCGTTTCTTCTCCCATCTCAATATCTCAGCTCTTATTCTATCTTCATATATTCCTTCCAAGTGCTATATAGTATATTGGCTCAGAACTTTCTTCTGTCATCTGATAATTACCTGATAAATGAAAAACCAGCATTTCCACAATATACATATTATATTTATTTTTAAATTTAAATTTTGCCCCGAGCGGCTTTTGACACTGTCAGCCACCAAAACTTTCTTCTTAAATTACATCATTATGGAGTCAGAGGTCACTCCCTGCAATACCTCAAATCTTACCTTACTGACAGGCTCCAGTATGTTTCTGTGAATAATTAAATTTCTCCCAGCCTACCCATCAACATTGGTGTTCCTCAGGACAGCATACTTGGCCCTCTCCTCTTTCTCATCTACATTAATGACCTTCCAAATGCCTCCCAACACCTCAAACCAATTCTATTTGCTGACGACACAACCTTCATTTATTCCAGTCCTGACCCCCTTGCTCTTAATGTCACAGTGAATACTGAACTAAATAAAGTCCATCTTTGGCTAACTGTCAGCAAACTCACCCTCAACATTGACAAAGCTTTCTATATTTTGTTTGGCAATAAATCCTCAAATCAAATAAATCTCAGAATAAATAATACCCAAATTTGTAGCAAAATAGATGGCAAATTCCTTGGCGTACTCATTGACCACAAACTGAATTTCCAGGGACACATTCTAAATATATAAAAAAAGTTTCAAAAACTGTTGGCATTCTTTCTAAGATCAGATATTATGTACCTCACCCTGCCCTGGTGACGCTCTATTACTCCCTCATCTATCCTTATCTCAACTATGATATTTGTGCTTGGGGTTCTACTACCCAAAATCATTTACGTCCTCTAATTACTCAACACAAAGCTGCTATTAGGACAATATCCAACTCTGGTCCCAGACATCACTCAGTACCCCTACTCAAATCTCTGAATATGTTGGATATTAAGTCACTGCACATCCTCTCATGTGTATTATATATATAAAAAACGCTGAACTGTAATGCCAATCCTGACCTTACAAGCTTCATTGAAGGTTGTAACAGAACCCACGAGCACCACATCAGAAACAAATACCTTTTTGATATTCCAAGAGTACGACTTAATCAAACTAGAAATGCTCTACAAATCAAGGGGCCCAGAATGTGGAAAGACCTTCCCAATCATGTTAAAGACTGTACCTCTCTCAACCAGTTTAAGATAAAAACTAAGCACTACCTAATTAACTCCCTGTAACCTACCTTACCCCTATAATGTCAACCCATGTCTGTTATTTTTAATCAATGCTGTTTGTCGACCAAATTGTATTTTTGCTGCTTTTTTTCTGCCATGTTCCCCCCTTTTTTATTTTTATATTTTCTCAACACATTTTATACTTTAATCTCAATTAGTATTAAGTTTTAGTCTTTAGTATTTTTCTTGCCCAAAACGCTTTGCGTAACAGTGGCTTTATAAATCTCCTTTTCTGTTTAGGGTGTGATGGTGAAACTTGGACCAGTTGCAGCCCTTTCTATAACCATTTCATAAATAAATTTATAAGCAAATTGAACAACTTTTAATTTAAAAAGATTATGCCCCCTTTAGGCATTGTATGTACTAGCTCTATCTATAAATTCATCAATATTTGTATCACCCCTTGTATGTATGTACTTTACCTAAATAAACATTTGAATTTTGAATTTGAATTTGAATTTGGAACTAGCTCATCAAGATTGTAACTTACTTAGCTAAATGAACTGTGGGGTTCAGTCCCTGAGCCCATTATGTGCCTCTGTAACCCTTTCCACTACCGCCTACAAGATGGGTATGGGGTGCATAATAAATGAACTAAACTAAACTTATAAAGTTATAAATGAACTGTTGAATGAACAACTTTTACCTCTGCAATGACATTAACACATTATAACTTTGTGCTCGAAAAATAGGTGAACTGGGAAAGGAAATCTTAGATTAAAGAGAACAGAAGTGCTTACATGTACCAAACGCAGCTCAGATGTTTGGAACACTTGTGGCAATTTAAACAGCTGCTACTCTCGAGTTCAGTATTGAGTCACATTGGTGGTTGCTAGTGACACTAGCTCTCCACATATGTCAGTTGCTTAATTTAGAACCTGTACTTGAGGTCGATCTCGAACCCACTGTTGATGTGACGACTTATATTGAATTTTGGAACTAGCTCATCAAGATTGTAACTTGCTTAGCTAAATGAATTGTGGGGTTCAGTCCCTGAGCCCATTATGTGCCTCTGTAACCCTTTCCACTACCGCCCACAAGATGGGTATGGGGTGCATAATAAAGAACTAAACTAACTAACTAGTTATTCAGCAACACTCCATACTGCTAGTTATCGAATCCCCCTTGCTATCACATTAACTTGCTCCTAACTCAATGATCTTGCTATTAGGAAATACACTCAAAATTGCTCTTCAATAAAGCTGGTTTAAGGGTTTATTTAACTTGTCTTAATGGCTGCCCTGTAAGGGGAGGGGGGAGCTTCACAACCCTCTGAGGAGGAGGGGGGGGGGGGCTTGACAACTATGTGAGGGGGGGGGGCTTTACAACCATGTGAGGGGGGATGGGGCTTCACAACCCAATGAAGGGAAGGAGGGGGCCTTCCAGCCCGTCCTCCAAACAAAGATCCAAAAGTGATTCCATGCACCCGCCAAACCCCCTGTTTATGAATGAAAAGCGGTTTACACACGACTCACAACTGCTGACGTTCGAACATATCCGGAACAAGTGTTTCACTGACGAATTTTGTTCGAATCACAACGCTATAAATGCTTCACCCACGTACTACAAATACAAATAATCGCCAACAGAACCTAAACACCTAACCTAACCTATCCTATGCCTATATATACACAATATGCTAATATATTATAATATTAATTTACACTTGAGAAAATTCCCGTTTTGAATGAACACCATGTGAAAACTTATGAATGCGTCTGTGGGGTCGACCGCTGAATGTAATGGACTTGAGTCGAGGACGGGTTGAAAATTCAGTACACATCGTCACGTCATCAATGGGTTCGAGATCGCCCACGAGTACGTTTTCTAAATTAAGAAACTGACATATGTGGATACAGCTGCCAGCTACCACTTGTCCTTTGGGGTGGGGGTTCCGCGCCAGCTGGCCTGGCTGATGGGGGGTGCCACGCCGGACCCCCCAAAAGTAGTAAGCTTCACTTCTGGATGTAGACGTAGTTGCATAGCTTAGTTAAAATACCCTAACTCATCTAACACTTAATTATTCACGCCAATGTTTAAGGCTTTTAATGTTTAAAATCACTCTGCTCAAATATGAGTTATGGACACTGCTTGAAAGAAAGCGGAGAAATTTCTGTGGGAAGAAAAAGATATGTTCAGCGGTTTGCGTCAAGTGCTGCGTGCACAACAAGTAGGGGTACTTAAACGCGGGCAGCGGAGGTCACGACTTACGGGCTATTCATGCCCGTGCCACCTCTTGGGATGGCTTAATCTTCGTCAATCAGTCAAGTCACGACCTCTTTTCACTCCTGTGAAAAGGAGGAATGCTCTACAAATCAAGGGACTCAGAATGTGGAATGACCTTCCCAATCATGTCAAAGATTGTACCTCTTTCAACCAGTTTAAGATGAAAACTAAGTACTACCTAATTAACTCCATATAACCTACCTTACTCCTAATGTCAACCCATGTCTTACTATTATTTAAAAAAAAATGCTGTTTGTTGACCAACTTGTATATTGGCTATTTTCTACCATGTTCCCCCTTTTTTATCTTTTATTATTTTTTTTCTTTCAACGCAATTTATACTTTAAGCTCAATTACTATTAAGTTTTAGTCTAAGTGTTTTTCCCCCACCTCACCTTGCCCGAAACGCTTTGTGTACTAGTGGCTTTGGGTATTGTATGTACTACCTCTAACTTTAAATCAAACAATGTTTGAACTGTAACTCTGCAACTATGTATGCACTTTTCCTAGATAAATTATTATTATTATTATTATTTTTGAGAAAAAGTGGAAAACTGGGTAGAGCGAATGGTTAGATTCGTTGGTTCTAACCATGATAATGGTTAGAGGTCATCAAGAACCTGCCACGTGAAATCTAAGTAAAGAGAAGACGAGCAAAGAGAAAGATCAAGACAGGAAAGGGTGCGAGTCCGAGAGTCCAAATGCGTGGGCTCACCAGAATTCAGAAGACAGGGAAGAAGAGAGGATAAACGGCTTAAGAAGGCGACCCCGGGTGTTCGTCAGAACATCACCCCAAAGGGAATGACGACAATTCAACGACATGACGACAACCCAACGAAT